TATGGACTTGCTCATTCGTCGACTTTGGGCTGTGACCCCTTGTGGGGTGAGCTGTAGTTATTTGCGCAAACACCACTGTACAATATTGTTCATTCTGTAAACATAATGTATATGTACTACTGTATACAGTGGTCCCTCAGTTAACGAGCTCAATTCGTTCCAGAGGGTCGCTCGTTAACCGAAAATTTCGTTAACCGAAACCATTGTTTCAATGGGATATTGGGTAATTGGTTCCAGCTCACAGAAAAGTATATACAAAGTAAAGCCAAAAATGCATAAAGTCAGAAACACTCCTAAAATTCCCCTAAATCGCCCTTAAATCACTATATATATCGTACATATACACCAGAACTCTTAAATCACAGGCGATTAATTTTATCTCTTGTGCAAAATATATGACGTGTATATTCATATTATTCGCTGTCTTACAAGGAATCCAGCAATGAAAATTATATTCTCCTAACTTTAGTCCGAGATATTAAATATGATTAAAACTGTAAGCCTAGTGAAAACCACCAAACGTTTCTCGAAAAGGTGGGCGGGTAGGGAGGGAGAAAGGGAGCGAGGGAGAGAGGGAGCGAGGGAGGGAGCGAGCGTGGGAAGAGGGGGGGGTGGGGGGGGAGGAGTTGAGTTGTACTTTGACAGTTAAGGGGAAGGTCTGGTGAAATATTTAATTTATTTATTTATGTTCTTGCTCATAAAATTGTGTATATATATATATATATATATATATATATATATATATATATATATATATATATATATATATATATATATATATATATATATATATATATATATATATAACCAGCCAGAATATAATTTACATTGCTGAAATTCTTATAAGATAGTGATTAATTTGAATATAAACAAGCTATAATTTGCATTAGACATACAAATTTTAGATCTAATTTAAGAATTTTATTAGAGAGAGCAAAAATGTTATCTTTTGTGCAAAATATATGACATTTACACCCAAATTATTTGCTGTCTTGCAAGGATGCAGCAATGCAAATTATATTCTCCTAACTTTAGTCTGAGATATTATATATGATTAAAACTTAAAGCTTTCTGAAAACCACCAAACCTTTCTTGGAAGGTGGGGGAGGGAGGGGGAGGGGTGACAGTGACATGTTTGACATTTGGTGCTTGTGGTGTGAAGTATTTAATTGTTAATTTATGTCCTTTAGATTTAGTTTTTGTTTTTTGCTTATAAATAGAAGCGACCGGAGTGAATTTAATTTGCATTGCTGGAATTCTTATAAGATAGTGATTAATTTGAATGTAAACATGACCATAGTTTGCACTATAAAAAAAATTTTAAACTATTATTTTTGGCTCGATATATGTAACTTTATTCATTTATTGAAAATCATTTACATGCACACACTGTCCTAAGGATAAAGCTGAACTGTACATGTAATCAGAATAATGTACAAAATGATTACTAAAATTTTTGTCTAGTGCAAACTATGGCATGATTACATTCAAATTAATCACAATCTTACAAGAATTACAGCAATGTAAATTATATTCACCCGGGTCACTTCTATGAAATTGTATAAGCAAAAAACAAATACTCAATCTAAAGGACATAAATAAACAAATTAATATTTCACCAGACCTTGGTGCTAACTGTCAAACATGTCACTGTCACCCCTCCCTCCCTCCCTCCCAACCCCCCCCCTCCTCCCAGCAAAGTTTTCAGGTTATACAATAAGCTTTAATCTTATATAATATCTCAGACTAAAGTTAGGAGAATATAATTTGCATTGCTGGAATCCTTGCAAGACAGCGAATAATTTGAATGTAAACGTCATATATTTTGCACAAAAGGTAACATTTTTGCTCTCTCTAATAAAATTCTTAAATTAGATCTAAAATTTGTATGTCTAATGCAAATTATAGCTTGTTTATATTCAACTTAATCACTATCTTATAAGAATACCAGCAATGTAAATTATATTCTCCCCGGTCATATCTATGGAATTTTATGAGAAAAAGAAAAAAAAATGTAATACTTCCCCAGACGCACTAACTGTCATTGTACCCCTCACCATCCACCACCCGCTCCCCCCCTTTTTCCCACGCTCGTTTGCTTGCTCCCTCCCTCCCTACCCTCTGCACCTGCCTCAGACAAAGGTTTGGGGGTTTCCTGTAGGCTTACAGTGTTTATCTTATATAATATCTCAGACTAAAGTTAGGAGAATATAATTTGCATTGCTGGAATCCTTGCAAGACAGCGAATAATTTGCATATAAACGTCATATATTTTGCACAAGAGATAAAATTAATCACCTGTATCACATTACAGTAGTGATTTAAGAGTAAGAGTATATATATATATATATATATATATATATATATATATATATATATATGTTGGAGTTATGTAGTATAGGGTAGTATAGTATATATATAAGGTTATATATATATAGTTGTTGTTGTTGTTGTTGCTATACATATATATATATACATGCCATACATACATGCTACGGGCTACGCCACACATTACGCCACGCTACGCTACGGCCACAGCTACGTTACACATGGGCCACAGCTACGCCACGCTACACATGCCAGCTGTACATGATACATACATACATACATACATACATACATATATATATATATATATATATATATATATATATATATACAGTCAACCCTCACTTTACGTGGTCCCACATTCCGCGTTTCTACGTTTACAGGGTGCCCTGCCAGAACCCAGGATGCTCACATTCCGTGGTGGGTGTACCCCTTTACACAGGTGAAGTATAATTTTTTTATTTAGCTCATAAAATTCATACAAATTATCCGGCCAGAATATAATTTACATTGCTGGAATTTTTACAATTTGATGATCATTTTGAATATAAACATCATAGATGTTATCTTTTGTGCAAAATATATGACATTTATATTCAAAATATTCCTGGTCTTACAAGGAATCCAGCAATGTCAATTATATTATCCTAACTTTAGTCTGATTCATTATTTATTACTAAAAAGGTAAACAGTCTGATATTCCCACACATTCATCTCCTTGGGAGGGTTGGTGGGGGGTGGGAGGGAGGGAGGGACTGGCGACCGACCACCTGGCACCAGGGTGTGAAGAATATTTTTTTTTTTTTATTATTAACTGAAGATATTTGTTTTAGCTCATAAAATTCATACAAATTACCCGGCCAGAATATAATTTACATTGCTGGAATTCTTACAATTTGATGATCATTTTGAATATAAACATCATATATTTTGCATTAGACATACAAATTTTAGATATAATGTTTACTCTGAGCAAATATGTTATCTTTTGTGCAAAATATATGACATTTATATTCAAAATAATCCTGGTTTTACAAGGAATCCAGCAATGTCAATTATATTATCCTAACTTTAATCTGAAGTATTATTTAATACTAAATGTTAAAATCTAGTTTTTTCACCCAACCTTTCTCTTGAAGGGAGGATTGGTAGGGGGTGGAGGGGTGGGTTGGGACGGACCGACCATCTGGCCCGGTTGGAAGAGGGGGGGGAGGCAAGGTGGGGTACTTTGATTGACAGATAGTGTCATGAAGAATATTTTTTTTTTTATTAACTGAAGATATTTGTTTTAGCTCATAAAATTCATACAAATTACCCGGCCAGAATATAATTTACATTGCTGGAATTCTTACAATTTGATGATCATTTTGAATATAAACATCATAGATTTTGCATTAGACATACAAATTTTAGATATAATGTTTACTCTGAGTAAATATGTTATCTTTTGTGCAAAATATAAGACATTTGTATTCAAAATATTCCTGGTCTTACAAGGAATCCAGCAATGTCAATTATAGTATCCTAACTTTAGTTTGAGGTATTATTTATTACTATACCTGGTTTTCCCCCAAAAATTTCTCAGAGAGGGAAGAGCCAGGGAGTGTAGTGTGAGAAGAGGGGGAGGGAGTTGAGTCCATTATTTGAATGGACATTAACTTGGCGACTGTATTTCTCTATTTCTCTTAAGTATTAATTGTGTGCATGTACCATCATAAAATTAAGATGTTATTTTTGCTAGAACATAGGTATTGTGTTGGAAAAAGTGGAGTTTGGGGGTCAGCTGGTCTCTATTTCATTTAATCCCATATGTTATGTTATTCACTTTAAGCGGCTTTCTTCCCGCTGCACCCCGGGTTACATTAAAGTGAGGGTTGACTGCATATATATATATATATATATATATATATATATATATATATATATATATATGTATATGTATATGTATATGTATGTATATATATATATATATATATATATATATATATATATATATATATATATATATATATATATATATATATATATATATATATATATATATATATATATATATATATATGTATATATACACATACAGTCTGCGCGGAATGTGAGATTGTGTGCTGAAAAAATATTGATATTTACGATTATGTTATATAAATAAAGTCAAGTAACACTTACCACTTCAATTAATACTTTGTAGTGTTTCCTCTGCACTTCAGACAGTCTTTTAGCCTTCGAGGAACACTGTCAGCAAGGTGTTGCAAGAGGTCAGGTGGCAAGTTAGCCCAGGTATCATTGATGGCTGCCTCTAGTTTCGGGATTGATGATGTGTCAGCGGCGCGTAGACGACGTTTAACAATGGACCACAAATTTTCTATTGGGTTAAGATCCGGGCTACTGCCAGGCCAGTTATTAAAGAAAGGTACCTCACAGTCTTTGAGCCACTGTATGACACTTTTAGCAGTGTGGCATGGGGCACCGTCCTGCATGAAAAGGCTTGCCTTAGCTTTATCAAATGATTCAGGTAAGAAATCACTGAGCAGTTCACGATAGTTGTACTGATTCATCATCTGGTTCTTAGGGAGGATTACTAGTTCACCAACACCATAATACGTAAAGGAAGCCCAAACCATAAGCGAGGCAGGGTGCTTAACAGTCTTTACAGTATACTGTGGGAGGTGTGCGTCTCAGTGGGGCGGGCGGTACACCCTCCCACCACTACTCCCAGTTACAGAAAACGTAGCCTCGTTGGACCACAATACACTTTTCCATGTCTCTAAATCCCACACTTCATATTTCTTGCAAAATTTCACTCTATTTTCCTTCTGCTTTTTTGTCAAAAGAGGTTTACGGCGGGCACGAAAGCTCTTAAATCCCAGGTCATCGTGCAGGACTTGTTGAACACAACGTAACGAGACGTGACTCAAAAGACAGGGGTTTCTCTCTCTCACTTCATGTGCTGTGAGTGAGGGATTGGACCCAACTTGTCGAGAAATAACCTGAAGTGTCCGTGGAGACCATAATTTAGGCCTACCAAACTTAGGTAATGGAGCTGGTAACTCGTCCTCTCCAAGGTCACGGAAACGTTTGGCAAGATTTTTAACAACTCGTAATGCCACACCAGTCTGAGCAGAAATTTCTCTCAGTACATGGATTGCTTTGTACAATGCAATCACTGCTGCAATATCGTCTCTTGTAATAACCCTCCTGGACATCTCTGATGGCCACTATGTCGTGTTAATGCACCTTAAACTAGACAAAACATGGCCACATGGCACGGGAACCAGCACAATAAATCTTCCCCTCACAGTTACCAGAGGCGCACTGACTACAAGCCGTGACGTGTTCTCAGTTGCCAAATGTCACCACTTGCCAGCAAACCAAGCGTTTTGACATCTCGCTTCCCAGGACAGCCTTCACAACATATGATCCTATTTTTGCGAGAACTTAGTTTGTCGGCCCTATCGCGATTTAATATTCCGCGCAGACTGTGTGTATATATATATATATATATATATATATATATATATATATATATATATATATATATATATATATATATATATATATATATATATATATATATATATATATATATATATATATATATATATATATATATATATATATATATATATATATATATATATATATATATATATATATATATATATATATAATCAACACCTCAACCCGCCAGGATTCGAACCCACAGCCCACGAGCCCATGACTGTGACCGGGGAATGCTAACCGCTGGACCACCAGAATACAAAAGCAGTCCTAGACATTGTTATATTTCACACAAAGCCTGTTCAACGAGCTTAAGGCGCCGTGAACCTCTAATGGGGACTACCCGTATCACGTAGGTGGTCAGAGTAACTTTTACCAAATCCGGCTTCGAAACACGAGGATCCATATATATTTCATTAGCCCAATAAAGCACACGGACTTCTACACACAATCAACACCTCAACCTGCCAGGATTCGAACCCACGGCCCACGAGCCCATGACTGTGACCGGGGAACACAAACCGCTGGACCACCAGGATACAAAAGCAGTCCTAGACTTTGTTATATTTCACACAAAGCCTGTTCAACGAGCTTAACGTGCCATGAACCACTAATGGAGACTACACGTATCACATAGGTGGTCAGAGTAACGCTTTACCAAATCCGGCTTCGAAACACGAGGACCCATATATATTTCATTAGCCCAATAAAGCACGCGGACTTCTACATACAATCAACACCTCAACCCGCCAGGATTCGAACCCACGGCCCATGAGCCCATGACTGTGACCGGGGAACGATAACCGCTGGACCACCAGGATACAAAAGCAGTCCTAGACTTTGTTATATTTCACACAAAGCCTGTTCAACGAGCTTAAGGCGCCGTGAACCTCGAATGGGGACTACCCGTATCACGTAGGTGGTCAGAGTAACATTTTACCAAATCCTCATGTTTCGAAGCCGGATATATATATATATATATATATATATATATATATATATATATATATATATATATATATATATATATATATATATATATATATATATATATATATATATATATACACACACAGTTGGGTCTCACATTACGCGGTTAATGTAACCCGGAGGGTACC